CCCCAAAACCCCAAAACCCCAAAACCCCGAGAATAATTAAATAATCAAAGCTGGTAAATTTGAAATTCATTAATAAATCTTGAATTTTAAAATGGACGTAGATTTATAGAAATTTCTCGCAAGCTCAGAGATGGGTCATATGCTGAAAGATAACCCTGAACTTATGAAGTAGATGACAGGATACTGGAAAATGCTTGACAATATGTCAGACTCTAACCCAGATGAATACAAAAAATTTATAGATACATAAATGAAAGATATGTCTACAGAGATCAAGAAGGAGAAAGAAGAGGAAGTAAAGCATTAGACTATTGTTGGAGAGCCCGCCTTTTGTATGAAAGCTTTAGTAGCCAAAGTTTTGGATTAAAAAGATACAGCTCAAACAAAGAAATAGGATTAGGGCATTAAATTATTTGATACTTATGGTGAAAGTTAGATCAAGGAATCATTTTTAGATAATGACGAGCGTCAAGATCCTCTAGAAGAGCCAAAGCTATTCTTAAACATAACATATTGTGAATAAGTACTTCCTCCTCTAAACAAGCAAAATGACTTAGCTGATAAAAATAATGATAGAGATTGGCATGTGATTCCAATTGCTTTTACTGAATCTTAACTTAGAAAGTCACTAGATAATTTACAATGCATCCATTATGATGCCTATGTTAATACTTGTGTTGTTGACAAAATGAAAGAAGGAGATAGGACTTTCAAGTCAATAATGAACTATGTCGTCATGAAGTTTCAATAGCTTCTTAAAGATTAGTTTATTATACACAAGAAAAGTGTTAAATTCTTGAAATCTAAAAAATATAAGGACTACAAGGGTACTAATTCTTAAAAAGTCTATCCTTTTGTATTGCCAAAAGAGTACGATCTCAAGCAATTTAAAAGAGTCAAAGAGAAGTTGATTAAGCAAACTGAAGCTAATAAACTCAGTTAAGGACCTCAAAACGTTTAGATTCCCACTGCATAGGCTTAAAAAAGCACATAGGAAGAAGTAGCTAGTAATATCAGAATACCTGGAATCCAGCTGAATGAATAATAGGTGAAAAAGAAGTCTGTAGTTATAGAAGTGCTAGGAAAGACTATTCCAAATGTTGAAATAATAGAGTCAGACTAAGATATTGTTATGTGCTTTAACGTCGAAGAGGAACTCTCAGCTAAAGATATTGATTTGGATATATCAGAGAAGGAAATTAGACTAAATAGTAAAAAGTAAGCCAATTCCAATTTTAAATTCATTTTAATCATAGTTATGAGTATCATAAGGTATTCGAAGGATTTAAGATTGATTAAGGGAGCGTAAAAGCGAAATTCAATAAATCGAAAAGGACTCTAACTCTTACTATATCTAAGAACTGAAGAAAATTCATTTTTAGGAGATGGTTGGTTGTTAAATTGTAATTTAGAAACCAAGATTTAGTCAAGTTTAATTAATTTTGAATCCAAAGTTTTAAATAAATTACTTTGCATTTATTTAAAATTAATTTAAATATTATTACAATAAATAATGAATTATATTCAATCAATGCATTTCTAACCTGCATATAATGAAACAATATCGAACTATTATCAAAGCATAGAGCAGGGTAGAATGATTAAGACCACTTAATTAAATCCTTAAACCCCGAAAAAGGTTTCATCAAGACGAGAACCAATTTAACTTTACATAGAAATAGACAAAGATAAAAAAAAGTCTAATAATGCTCAGTAGCAACAATTCGCATCTGTATCAAAATAATCTTAAAGTTTGTAGGAGGCCTGGTAGAAGCAATAACTTAAACAAAGCAAAAAGAAAAAAAAGAAGGCAAAAAATAAAAACTCCCAGCTTCAAGATGCTCTCTCTGAAAATTTTAAATAAACTATTCGCGATTAAATTAATACAGCAAGAGGAATGACCCCAACAGAAAACATTTTAACAAGTTAGAAACTAAAATGAGCAAGTTTAGATCAGCAAATGAAGAGATCTACTTCGGATGAAAAATTAAAGTTACCGTAAGTAAATGAAAACCCCAATATATAAAAATCTCCACCAATACAGCCAACGATAAGCAAAGAGGCAATGGACAAAAATGCTAAACTAAGACAAATAATATCATATAACAATGAGGAATCTAACTCATATTAAATTGATGATAAGTCAACTTACTCTGGCAAACTGATTTCCAGAGCTAAAACCAAGGAGAAAAAAAATCCTTTAGCAAGATCTAAAAATTCAAAATCCTTAAGAATGATTGTTCCAAATACAGGTATTGATCAGTATTTTTTCTTGCATAAAATGAAGTTCATACGCACTCATAAATAATACGAGTATATGAATGAAAACTATTTGAACATTAAAAATATAGTTGAAGATTATAGGACAAAAGAGTAAACCAGAATGTTTGCTATGTCAAAATGCATCTATGATTGCATGGATTCAAATTCTCCATATTACAACAATTGTGCCGAGTACCAAAATAATGGATTCCAGCTCCCTGTGACTGGTCATACCTTTGATAATTCCTCTTTCTACAATAGCTATTAGGAAGTATTCAGACCGAATCTTCATAATCATATCAATACGAATTTCTATGAGAAACTAAACCCATTCTATAAATTATAGAATGGCAGTGATGAAACACTTATCTTTGAAAGCAGATTTGAAAGTGGAAATCTTAGATAGGCAGTTTAGATAGATCGATTTGAATATGAGCTCTATCTGAAGACTGATTAGAATACTAATAATTACACGCAATGGTTTTACTTTAAGTTGAGTAATACTAGACGTCATCGTCAATATACCTTTCATATAGTAAATTTCGTTAAACCAGAATCTTCTTTTAACGATGGAATGAAACCAATAATGTATTCCAAAAAACAAGCAGAATAAAGACAAATAGGTTGGATTAGAGTTGGAGAAGATATTGCTTATTATCAAAGCTCACAATCAAAGTAATAGTAATTTTGTAAGCTATTAGGAGTGGCCAATCAAACTGATGCTCCTCAAATCTACACTTTATCCTTCAAAATTGAATTCAAATATGATAGCGATGAGGTATATCTCGCATACTGCTTTCCTTATACATTTACTGATAATTTAAGATTATTGAACAAACTCTCTTCTTCAAAATATAAGGATAGAGTAAAGAGGATGAATCTTTGTAAGACTTTAACAGAAAATGAGTGTGATATGTTAATCATTACAAATTTCAATTCATCTTAAGAAGCAATAGCTGAACGTCCAGCAGTTATTTTGACTTCAAGAGTCCATCCTGGAGAATCAAATGCATCTTATATTATGGAAGGAGTACTAAAATACCTAGTTTAAAGCAATGAAAGTGAAGCATAACTTTTAAGAAATAAATTTGTCTTCAAAATAGTTCCGATGCTCAATCCAGATGGTGTAATTGTTGGAAATTACAGATGCAGTACCAAATCTGGAGGAGATCTAAATAGGTAATGGATCAATCCTGATCATAAAGTTTATCCAGAGATCTTTTCCGTGAAATAAATGATAGAAAAGACTTTAGACTCTAGAGATATCTTCTTGTATTGTGATTTCCATGGGCATTCAAGATCAAGGAATACATTTATTTATGGTTGCAGTGGAGGAAACTTTAAAGCAAAGGATTAATAGCCAATATCTAATTTTAAACATAGAGAAAGAATCTTCCCATTCCTACTAAGCAAGAATTGCGAGTACTTTTCCTTTGAGGGATGCAATTTTTCTATTTAAAAAGCCAAAGAATCGACTGCCAGAGTTGTACTATACAGAGAGTTTCAACTCTATAATTCTTATACTTTAGAATGCTCTTTTTTCGGTCCTAATAAAGGTCAGTATAAAGATTGCCATTTCAACATAAGCATGTTACTAGAGATCGGATAGTAATTTTGCAAGACACTTCTAGATATGGTTGAAAAGGATCAAAATAAAGTCAATATAGCCATAAAAGAAATTAAAAAATTGAATAAAAAATAAACTATACCAATAGCAAACACTAATGCTTAAACTACTATTTCTCCAGCTGACGACAAATACAAGATTATCAAGGAATAGAAAATAGAAAACAATAATCTAGGCAAAACTGATCTTTTTAAGAAGGAGCACTTATTTTCATCACATTAGCAGCTATCAAGTCCATCTTAGTAGAATGCTTAGGCAACATAGTTTGTAAAGATCAAATTTTAATCAGTGTTAAATCCGCTTATCCTTTAATAAGACAGTTCAAAGCCCTTAAAGAAAAGTGGCCAAAAGACTAAAAGTACTCATAAGAGCTCTATCAATGAAGTAATTAACCTTTATAACTCCTCAGGATTAAATTCAAATCTTCCCTCAGATAATAATATACCTGGGCAGACAACTCTTTAGAATTAAAATTCAAAGTCAAAGCCAAATTTCATGGCATAATCTCCTACTTTAATGGGAATTCAAGGCTATGGAATGCTTTAAATAAATCAAGAGAAGTATTTAAATCAGAGATCAAAGTCAACTGCTAATCGAAAAGCTAAGAAAAGAGAGTCGGAACTAATTGGTGTTACAAGTAACTCTAACAACAACTAAAATAATCAGAGTGCTAATGGTACTAATCTTTTCAGAATAAAACTTAGTGAATTCACCAGTAAGACCAGTCATCAAAAACGAAGAAATATTAAAGCATCCCAGTTGATAGAAATCAAGTGATAAGAGTAAAAATCATAAAAACCAGTAAATATCGATTTTATCACTCACTATAAGTGATACTTAACCTAAATATATTAATAAATTGAGTTCTATGAAAATTAATAGTTCACTCAATCCATTATTAAAGATTATTATCAGGATTTTATCATTTACTTTTTATCTTTACAAATTAGTAACATGGGGTTTTGGGGTTTTGGGGTTTTGGGGTTTTGGGG